TTTCTCTTAGTTTATTCAAACCACTCATATTTAATGTGATTATTTATTTGGGTTAAAGTCTGTCATTTTGTATTTTGCTTTTTGTTTTCTCTTTGAGTTCTTACTCATTTCTTTGTTCCTCCTTTCTTGCCGTCTTTGGGATTAATCAAGCATGTTTTATTATTCCATCTCTCTCTCCTCAGCTTTTTTAGTGATGCATTCTTGTTAGAATTTTTTAACTAGCTGGAATTGTATATTTTGAACTTAATAAAGTTCATCTTAGGTAAGCTCTCTGGCCCCTCCCCAAATAATGCAAAGTTCTTAACAGATTTTGGCTCCATTTACCCCACTACTACCATCCTTTGTGCTATTGCTTTTATATAATTTACTAATACAGTTGACCCTTAAACAGTGTGTAGATTAGGGACAGTGAAATCTGCGTATAACTTCACAGCAAGCCCTCCATATCCATGGTTGTACATCCATGGATTTAACCAAACCATGAATCCTGCAGAACTGTGGTACATATTTATTTTTAAAATTTGCATGCAAATTGTAAACACAGTTAAAACCTATGTTGTTTAAGAGTCAACTGTACATGTACTATAAACCCTACAAGCCATTAAAAAAAATTTTTTTTTTCTAAATAGTCAATATTGTCTTGTATCTATCCACATATTTACCCCTTCTAATGCTCTTCCTTCCTACAGTTGTATTTTTCCATCTGGGATTACTCTTCTTTATCCTGAAGAACTTCCTTTTTATTTCTTATAGTTTAGGTCTGTTAGTGACATTCTCTCAGCTTTGATGTTTCTGAAAATGTTATTTCACCTTTTTAAAAAATTTTAATTGCATGCAAGAGTCTTTAAATTCTGTTGTGCTTTACAGTTTTCAAAAGTTTCACACAGATGATTAGAAGAAATCATCATTTCTTATAATCCCATAGTAACCCTCTTTTTTTCCCCTCTACATCTATGCTGCCCCTCCTCAGTTCCCTCTCTCTACTGTAAGTCACTAGCTTGTTCTCTGCATCTGGGAATCTGCTTCTTTTTTGTTGTTATATTCACTAATTTGTTGTATTTTTTAGATTCCACATATAAGAGATATCTAATACAGTATTTTTCTTTCTCTGTCTGACTTATTCCACTTAGCATAATATCCTCCAAATCTATCCATGTTGCTACAAATGGCAAAAGAGAATTCATTCTTTTTTATGGCTGAATAGTATTCCTCTGTGTGTATGTGTGTGTGTGTGACATCTTCTTTATTCATTCATCTGTTGATGGACACTTAGGTTGTTTTTATACTTTTTCACCTTCATTTTTGAAGGATCAGTTCAGTTCAGTCGCTCAGTCGTGGCTGACTCTTTGCGACCCCATGAACCTCAGCACGCCAGGCCTCCCTGTCCATCACCAACTCCTGAAGTCCACCCAAACTCATGTCCATCAGGTCAGTGATGCCATCCATTCTCTGTCATCCCCTTCTCCTCCTGCCCTCAATCTTTCCCAGCATCAGGGTCTTTTCAAATGAGTCAGCTCTTCACATCAGGTGGCCAAAGTATTGGAGTTTCAGCTTCAGCATCAGTCCTTCCAATGAACACCCAAGACTGATCTCCTTTAGGATGAACTGGTTGGATCTTCTTGCAGTCCAAGGGACTCTCAAGAGTCTTCTCCAACACCACGGTTCAAAAGCATCAATTTTTTGGCACTCAGCTTTCTTTATAGTCCAACTCTCAAATCCATACATGACTACTGGAAAAACCATAGCCTTGACTAGATGGACCTTTGTTGGCAAAGTAATGTCTCTGTTTTTTAATATGCTGTCTAGGTTGGTCATAACTTTCCTTCCAAGGAGTAAGCATCTTTTAATTTCATGGCTGCAATCACCATCTGCAGTGATTTTTCACTAGATACAGAACTCTGGGTTGGCAGTTTACATATTTTAGCCCTTTAAAACTGTCATTAAACACTATTGCTTCTTACTTTCATAGTTTCTGTTACAAAGTCAATTGCTTCTGTAAAAATAATCCTTTTTTCTTTAACTGCTTTTAAAAATGTATCTTTGTCTTTCATTTCGCTTTATTTTATGTATTTTATTTTCAGCAGTTTCACAGTGATGTGGTTTGGTATAGTTTGGAGGTTTTTTTGTATTTTTGCTGCTTGTGGATTGCTGAGCTCTTCTTTCACTAGTCTTCAAGTATAGTTTTACCTCATTCTCTGTCTTCTCTCACAGGGATTATAGTTACTCATATTTTGTATCTATTGAGTGTGTCCACATGTCCCTAATGTTCTAATCTATTTATCTGGTTTTTTTTTCTGTATTTTTGCTTCATTTTGCATGTTTTCTGTTGATTTTTCTTCAAATTTTTAAATTCTTCTGCTAGATCTTCTTTACCTTAAATCCATCCAATGAATTCTTAATTTTTAATATTGTGTTTTTATTCTAGTATGTTCATTTAATTTGTTATGAAGGTTGCAGTTTTCTGTGAGTATTATCTTTTCTTAACATTTTTTTCATCTTTCCCTCTACTTTTTAAAACCATATTACTTATGGTTAGTTTAAAGTCTGTTTCATTATCTGGATCATACATGAGTTTTCTATTGTCTATATTTTTTCTTGATTATCAGTCACATTGTTCTGACTCTTTTTAATATTTCTCTCTTACACACACACACACTGGATATTTCATATAAAAGAAGTGTTGAGATTCCAGCTGATATTTTCTATCAGAAAGAATTCTTTCCTCTTTCCTTTATGCTAATAGGATAAGGGCCTGATCCTTTCAGTCTAATCATGGATTGAACTGGTTCAGATATGAATTTAACTATGGTTTATATCCATATTCCGAGGCCCTGGGACCTCGACTGAGAGCCTAATGGGTCTTCATCTTCATAGTCGTGAAAAACCACAAGAAATTGTCCTGCCTGTGAGAGTTTTGGGGCTTGGTTCTTTGACCTTTCAGTCCTTACAATTTCAAAATAAGGCATTTATCTTGAAGAGGAGATTGGCTGTGTTAGAAGTAGACCTCATCCTTCTGGTGGGACCTTGTCTGCTGGAGTCACGAAATTATGGGAATTTTCACTCTGCCTTTTTAGAGGCTCTCAGCCTAGCTTTGCAGCCCCAACATGCAGGCTCAAAACTCAGCATATGTCCTATGGGAAAAATAGGCCATTTTCATGGAACTCCTCATCATAGCAGCTTCATCAATTTCTCTTTCCTCCAATGGAGCTCCTCTGCACAGGCCAAGACTGACTGTTAATTCATGCCCAAATTTGGCACATGTGCTCAGGAAAGAAAACAGTGTCAGCTACTTAAAAAACCCTCCTCATCCAGGTCTGGAATTCCAGTTCATCTAATCCTCATAATTTCTGTAACAGTGCATTGTCTTTTAAAGTAATTTGTCTGATTTTTTCTGGTTGCTGGATCAGCAGCACTACACTGTCATATCTGTTAGATACTACATGGAAGCATGAGAAATACTGTCTTCTACCTGCCCACTGTAACTACTTTATTAGCTTGTCTCCTAAGTTCTACTCTTGTCCCCTCCCCTCCCAGAGTAGCCGGAGTGTTTCCTTTTGAGTCTGCCCTGTCACTCACTTGCTCAAAACTCTCCAATGGCTTCCCTTCAGACTTAAGATAAATTTAGGTTCATTTTCAGGGTCTACAAAATCCCACACAGTCTTATTGCTACTTCTCCTCTACCTAATCTCCCACCACTCTCCCCTTTGCTCACTCAGTTCCAGCTATACTGATCTTCTTTCCATTTCTCAAACACAGTAATATGTTCTCATCTCAGAATCTTTGCACTTGTTATATACCATCTACTGGATGGCTCTTCCCTCAGCTCTTCATAAGACTTTGCCTTTATTTCATTTGGGAGCTCTTTGCAAATGTCACCTTCACAAAGAGGACTTTCCTCACCTCTGTGTCTCCTTAACTTGCTTTAGTTTTAATCATGGCATTTACCTAATATTATATTATGTATTTTTTGGCCTAATTTCTGTCTCCCCCACTAGGCGGTAAGCTCCATAAGAGTGGAAACTATGTTTTGTTCACTGTTCTACCCCAGGACTTCAAATAATGCATAGCCTGTAGTAAGTGCTTAATAACTTTGTGGAATGAATTAGATATCGCTTACCTTGAAAAATTCTCAGTTAAGGAGATGAATGATTGGAGTAAATTGAAAGTACTCTGCAGAATGTTTTAGAGCAGGTGGAGCACCGATGGAGTTGTTAGACAAGGCCTCAGTAAGGTGGTGATTCTGGAGCTGAGTGTCAAAAACTGAGTGTTGATGTATTCAGATCAGAAAGAATAGAGAACTCAACATAATTGAACAAACTGGTATTCAGAAAACAGTGGCGCTACAACATGGGGGTGTGTGATAGGAAATGACATCAGACATATCTGGAAAGCAAGGCAGGGGCCAAATCACAAAAGTCTTTGGATATCAGAATAAAGAATTTGAACTTTACCTTATACTCCAAATTTTTAAGGTAAGGAAAGATGCTATTAGATGTATATATTTGTATGTGTTTCGGTAGTCCTCACTGCAATAATCACACTAAAACTTTAAGTAAATTGATTCAGAAAATCCCTGATTTGGTTGTCAGAACCCGGTTTCCACACATAAGTCCTTATCCCAACTCACTGTGTAAGCTAGGGAAGGTATCATTTCCTCCTCTGAGCCTCAGGTCTTCATTCTTAGCAGGAGAAGACTGTAAGCTTCTAAGAGCCATTCCATCTCTGAGTCTGTGGTTGTTTATATGCTTTAACTAGATTCTTTGGGAAGAAACGCATAATATTTTTTCTACATTAGCCAGAAATAATTAAAACTTCCAATTCTGGCCAATCTAAATTCAATTCTCCTCTGAGATTTTCTAACTTTTAGGTCAGATACCAAGAGACTAGCTTCTTGGGATAAAACTATCCAAGCAGAAGTAGCAAGTCTTTTTTTTTCCCTCTGGCTGGGATGGGGATGCAGGTGGGAGGAGGGAGTGTTAGAATGAGTCTTTTTCTTGCAGTTGTGATTCCAAAGAATCCCTACCCTGCATCCGATGTGAACACTGAGAAGCCCAGCATCCACAGCAGCACCAAAACTGTCTTGGAGCATCAACCAGGGCAGAGGGGGCGTAAACCAGGAAAGAAGCGGGGCCGGACACCCAAGCCCCTAATTCCCCATCCCATCTCTACCCCATCCAAGTCAGCTGAGCCTTTGAAATTCCCAAAGAAGAGGGGTCCCAAACCTGGCAGTAAGGTAGGTAAAAATGTGGGTTTTCCAGCAAGGGATAAATGGTTATAAAAGGATAACTCATCCATATCCATCCATCTTAGAAAGGAATGTGTCTGGCACTATTCTCCACCTTGTGTGTTCTTTTAAGGAGAATCTCCTATATTGTCATCCCTACTTTAGCTATTTAGCTGGGAGTTGGTAATGTTAGAGATAAGATAGTATGGATAAGAAACAAATTTTTACTTTGAAAGTTACATTCATGGGAATTCTGGTCTGATATCTTCAATAGATGAAAGGCTCTGCTCCTAATTGTTACTGACCTACACAAAGTGGATGCCCAGGTATGTCAACAGAAGGAGAAAACTGACACTGTAAATGTATTTATTTTCCTGTCCCTATACCTTCTTTTTTTTAAAAAAGAAAAAAAAAGGAAATTATTGAATATTTACTAAGGATCAGGCTCTGTGCTTGACACCATTACGTATCATATGATCTTCACAAAACCCTAGGAGATAAGTAGTGTTAATGTTAAATAGTCGAGTAAATTGAGACTTAGAGATGGGAAATGACTTCCCTACAGTCACACAGCTAATCAATGGCAAAGGCTACAGAGATGGATCTCCAGATCTTCTAGTTCTAAGATCACTGCTGCCCCATCACATATTCACTCTCTCACATTTCCCAAGGAAGGTAATACAACCTCTGGTGTTGGAAAAAACTGCTGGGTTGAGCTTCACTGAGCACTGTTACTGAAAGTACCACCTTTTAGTCATGACCAGGTCTCCATGTGTATCTTCCCTCAGAAAACCATTGATATGAAACTTCCTCAGCTGCTTCTCTAAGGCTTCCTTTGTCATCATCTTCTCCAGTCACTTCTCAAGTCTCAGAGAATTTCTCTGCAACTCCCTCCCAAACTAGACTACCTGAGTTCCAGTGTGAAAATGATACCCAGTTCTCCTTAGGCATTCCATTCCAATTTCCTAAGTTCTTCTCTAGGTTTGATTGGGTGGGTGGGTTTGTTTTGTTTCTTAGCTCCAGCTGGCCTCAGTCTTTCTAGAATATAAGCTCCTGAAGGTCAAGAACCTAGTCTTCTCTTTTTCTCCTGCCCATGCCCTATATCTCAATCTCTTGGGAAATGTTCAATATATGCAGGATGGATGGATGGATAGATAGACAGATAGATGATTTTAGTGATGATTTCCAACTGAGAATATCCTTTATTTACTGGTTTTGAATTCTTGATGTCACATCCTGATCCTTCTGTGTAATGCATAATACTCCCGATCTTATTATCATTAACCCTTAACCCAGATCCTGATTCATTTTTGTCTCCATTACTCTCTTCTCATTCTCATGTTATGGAAGAGATGCTGAAGGCTCTAGAAATTCCAAGGCCAGGGAAGTCATGCTTTTGATGATGTGAGGACACCTTGACAGATTAAAAAGGGAGAAAACTTGTCCATGAGGTTCCAAAGACAGAAAGAACCAATAAGCAGAAACCCAAGCAAATAGGCTTTATCTCAACATAAAAGGAACAGTTAAATCTATTTCAAAATGCAAGTAGTAATCTCCCATCACTAGAGGTATTTCATCAGGTATTTCATCAAGTACCCAGATACTGATATGGATGTTTTTAAGGAGTGGGATGTAAAAGTATTAGGTATATAGTTGGATTAAATAACATTTAAGATCCTTCAAAGCTAAAAACTATGATTCTGTGATTGCTTCAGCTCTGCTTTCAGGAAGTCCTAAACATAGTAACCAAAGTCCTTTTTCTTTCCAGTCCTCTTAAAAGCAATAACTTTCATCTAATACTGTATTTTATGGCCTGGCATTTGACTCCCTAATTCCCCTTCCTGTGATTTTGCCTATTCCTGTAAGTGTATAGGCCTCTACTTAACCCATGACCCTTATATTCATTTTTGAAGCAAAGTGATCTTGTAATAAGAGCATAGGCTTTGAAGCCAGAGAAACTTAGGTTTATATCTCATCTCCAGTTGTTACCACTGTGTTGACTTTGAGAAAGCTTTGAGTAAGGCTAGGAGCCCCAGTTTTCTCACCAATAGAATGGATAACATATGAATAGATGTAATACATGTAAATGCACCAATCTCAAATAATAATAATGCTTTACATCTTTCTGCTTTTTTCTCCAATATTTGGGAACCAAAACTCACCAGGTTTGTTTCTTCAGGAACCCCCATGAAATCCTACCAACTCAGTAAAGTTGAACTAGTTCCTTTCTTTCCTGACTCAGTGCTTATTTAGATTTTTACTTGTGGCAATATCAGAAACAGGAGGAAATGTCTATGTCTTATGTGTGCTTTGAATGTTCCATAAGAGTCTGCATGACGGCTTTGACAGGCAAAGCCATCCTGTATATATGCCTGCTGTCATTGGGCCTTCTCTCTGATAACTCCCAGAAGGCAGTCAGGTTTATACAGCTCCCAGAGTGGACCCTACACGTGACATTTAGTAAAAATGAGTTCATCACTTAGTAAGAATGAATTCATCATGATCATCACTGGATCTCAGTGATGGTTATGTTTTCCTTGCTTTCAGAAAGGCTTTTTCTTGGAGGAAAAAACAACCTTCTGCAATCTTCCTCCCCCAGAGATTGCCCAGAACAGCATAGAGGAGATACTAGATTTTTCTCAAATCATTTTTATTACTGCTCACATTATTGGTATTCTATACTGTATGCTTCATTGAAAGACATTTATGACACTTATCATGTGCCAAGTATCATGTCAGATTGGTATGCAGAATCAGACCCTCAAGGAGCACCAAGCTAATAGGGGACACCAGTGTATAAATATATAGCGAAAATACATTGTGACAAATGCAACCATACAAAGTACAGAAATAGCACAGAAGAGACAGTAACTAGAGGAAATCTAGAAAAACTTCCTGAATAAACATATTTATGAGGTAAAAAAAAAAAGGTATTCTAGGCAAAACAGATGGTTTATTATTATAAAGGCAAGGACTAGATAAAACTGCAGGTTTTTAGGGAAGTACTATAGTTAGAGGTTACTGGAATACAAGGTTTAAGATAAGAAATGGCAGGTAATAAGCCAAAGAGGTAGGCAGAGGAAAATAGTTTGTGGAGTTAGGGGAAGGGATGTTTCCATTTTTCAAGAGAGAAACAAACTGATGTCAAAGTAGACTTAGGTCGCAGCATTTTTTTTTCATTTTATGCTTTTTTTGTGTCTAACTAATAAAAAACTCAGACATCAGATAATAATACTGAATACATATAAAAGATAGTGAATTAAGCTCTGGCTATACAAAAGCACAGAATCTTATACCTAGATTGAGAAAATACTTACTAAGCATCTACTATTTTTGCAGCTTTGAACAAGATGCTATTTGGGAAAGAAAAAAATATATATATATATATGTATATATATATATCATATGATATCACTTATATGTGAAATCTGGGATACAAGTGAACTTATTTACAAAATAAACACACTGATATAGAAAACAAACGTACGGCTACCAAAGGGCAAAGTGGGAGAAGAGGTCAGTTAGGAGGTTGGTATTACCAGATACACACTACTATATATAAAACAGATAAGCAACAAGGTCCTACTGTACAGCACAGGGAACTGTGTTCAATATATTGTTAATAACCTGTAATGGAAAGGAGTCTGAAAAAGAACATATATGTGTGTTTGTTTATATATCTGACTCACTTTGCCATATACCAGAAACTAATACAACATTGTAAATCAGCTATACTTCAGTTAAAAAAAAAGAAATAACACAGTCCCATCCACAAACATATTCCAGTTTAATGGGTGCATTGAGTGCTAAGAATAGAGGAATGAGAAGACAAGTTACCTATCATGGGTAGCAAACTTTTCCTCATCCATTTTGACAGAGGAAACCTCGGACTTTGCTGAACCCACCACCCACCTCACCAACAACCAGCACCCCTGAACCGGACACCAGCACTGTACCCCAAGATGCTGCCACCATACCCAGCTCAGCCATGCAGGCCCCCACAGGTAAGAGCAGATCACAGCATAGCTGCAACAAGCCCCAGGCCCCAGTGTCTGTACTGTCTCTCATGCTGTACCAGTAATTAGCCCCCTGCTGGGGCACACGCACTTCATCCCGTCCTACTCTTTCAACTCCGTGGACTGTAACCCACCAGTCTCCTCTGTCCATGGACTTTTTCAGGCAAAGATACTGGAGTGTGTTGCCATTTCCTCCTCCAGGGGATCTTCCCATCCCAGGGATTGAAGCCGCGTCTGCCTGCAGCTCCGGTGGATTTTTACCTACCAAGCCATCAGGGTAGCCCAGTTAGCCCCCATCCATCCATACATCTAAACAGAATCTTTTAAAAAAATTTAATTTGATGTTTGAAATAACTTCAGAGACATCTGCATTCTGTCAAAATAATCCAAGAAACTTGGGTAGACGTTCTGTGAACTTAGAGTTGGGGACCTAGGGCCTGGGGCTGGGAGGGACATGAGGCCAGCACTAGGAGCTCTCTGACTCCTTTTGCACTGATACCCATCCTTTCCAGCGTGGGGTGCTCCCTCCTAGTGACCCTTTCCGGAACCCTTCCAGCATTATAATTATTCTGCCACCACTCAGATATGTATGGCGCTGCTCTGATATTTTTAGTTTTTGATTGTGGCAATTTTTGGTACTGTGAAAATGTTTTTTTATTTTGGAGACAAATCAGTGCATGTTTGATTCAAGGCAAAATCTGATCACCATAGTGAGTGGTTGTGCATATGTTCCCATTTCATAAACTATATGAAGGTAACTCTAAAAGAGCTACCCCTTTAGAATAGATGTACAGCTTTCCAGTGGGGTAACTATTGATAAAAAGAACAATACTCATTTTTATGTATAAATTAAGATACATGTGTGAAAACATCTTCTTAGGGAAATCTAAGGAATTGGAATGATCCTCATGGAAGTTAAGGTAGTCTTTTTTTTTTAGGAGTTGAGTTTGTCTTCACCCTAGAATGTTAGTGCTTGAAGGGAAGCCCAGTCATTTCCTCTCCAAATAACCTTTGGAAAAGAACAGAGCCTGCTGGTAACATTTATGTTCAGCTCTGATCAGGGTACTATCACATGATTTCTCCATATGTGTCTTATGCGTCTGGCCTCAGCCAGTTACTGGGTTTGCTTAGTCCAAAAATGTTACTAGATTAATGAACAAAGCTTAGGAGCTTAGCTCCATGGATGAGGAAGTAAAGATAACTGAATACCTCGGTGAAGATATTAATTCCATTTTCTAACCTATGACATGCCCACTAGATTCCTGTATACCTACTTGTTTACTCCATCATTCTAAATACCAGTTAGGTGCCCGGATGCATTTTCAACAAAACCTAGATGACTCATACCAGTGGAAGCCTCATGACTGTGCCTCACTATTCAATTAAAATGATGTAACTCATCTCTTCTGGTGGTCACTAAGCTGAAATCCATCCCTTGGTCTGAATCTCATAGCTAAGAAAAATGGCAACTTGACTTTGTATCCCTGTTTCTTGCTCTTGGCCGGGCTATAGCAGTTTTCACTGATCACTGTTTCACCATCCTGACTGGACCTTTGCTCTTTCTGTGTGATCTTGCAGTCACTTCCTTTTCTGATCTCAGTTTCCACACCTATACAATGATACAGTTAGTCCAAGTTACCTTTATAGACCCTTCAACTGTTAATAATAAAAGCTATCATAGATTGAAAGCTGTGTGCCACGCTATACCCTTTATTACCAATCTTTCAGTTTTTTTTTAACTGCACAACACTTTTTATCTTCATCAGAATTATATACATGAGAACAGCTTAAAGGAAAAATAGGCTACAGGAGTTATTACAAAAAGGAGAGGAACAGACGCCCTCTATCCCCTGTTATTTACTTCTCACCAAAGGCAGTCACTTTTAATTTAGCTGATTCTTTTATTTACTTTCATATATGTAAATAGAATGCTTATATTGCTTTTTTTTAACTTGAGGTATTTTTGTACCAACACACTTTAACTCTTCCTTTTCTTTTTTTGGCAACCCAGGATTTAACACTTCTTAATCTCTTTGCCTGTTACCCACCCACACATGCTTCCCTCTCTTAATAAGATGATATTATAATTATGATTAGATTGAAATTCAATAGTGTGTTATTGTAACTTGTTATATGCTAGTCTCAACTGAGCCATGTAGAGTACTATGATTACTTTTCCTTGTTGTACAAAACTTTGTTTTAGATTAAATCTTGACCTTTTTTGTTATGTGTTTATTTTGCTATGTACTTACTAGCTCAGCCTTATAGTCTCTTACTGCTGTATACATCTTTCTTCTTTATGTTCAAGCATGTTCATCTCTATTTTGTGTTATCCCAGTTTGCTCCTTTATTTTACCATGTAATCCTAGATTTTTATCTTCAGTTTTGTGTGAAACCTGTTTATTCTCTTTGAAGCTTCTCTTCATCCCCATTATTCTGAAATTTCACCTAGGATGTGAGTATTTTTACTCACCATGTGAACATATAGTGTGCCCATTCCATCATTTGGTTTCTTGAAACTTTCTTAAATGCATCAATGATTTTCCCTCACTTTTTCTCTACTTACTCTTCCTGGCATATGTTCAGATGTTGAACCTCCTGAAGTCATCCGTTGTATTCTTGACCCTCTTTCTTCTTATTCCTATTCTGTCTTTTTGTTCAACTTTTTCAAACTTTCCACAACTTTATCTTCTAAGCTCTTTATTGAGTTTCTTATTCCTGGCAATTTTTTTTGTAAAAGTATTATTTCTGTAGTGGCATTTACCAAAGGGTATTTGGTGGAAAACTAGTCCTGCAAAATGCTCTGCATAAAGGGACTTTACATACATTTAGGAATTTGGTCGCATATGTTTAGAAAATGCCTATACTCTCCTTACCCACTCTTGGTATTTGCATATGCTATGAAGAACTCTTTTGTTTTGTGGATTTTTTACTATTTTTTTTTTTTTTTTTAGATTCACAGCAAATTTGAGCAGGAGGTATAGTATATATTTCCCATATACTCCTTACCCCACACACACTGTTTCACCTTCTCCATTATCAACATCCCCCACCAGAGTAGTACATTTGTTTCAGTGATGAGCATCATTACCACCCAAGGTCCATAGTTTACATTAGAGATCTTACTTGGTGTTGTACTTTGTATGGATTTTGACAAATATATAATGACATGTATCCACCATTATAGAATCTTAGAAAATAATTTAACTGCTCTAAAAATCCTTTGCCTCTGCCTAGTCATTCTTACCTCCCCACTCATCTCTGACAGCCACTGACCTTTTTACTGTCTCAGTAATTTTACCTTTTCCAGAATGTCATAAAATTAAATCATTCAATATACATAGCCTTTTCAGATTGGTGTTTTCATTTAATGATATATAAATTTCCTCTGTGTCTTTTCATGGCTTGATAGCTCACTTATCAAGTGCAGAATAACATACCATTGTCTGGCTATACCAGCAGTTTTATAGTTTGAATTTTACATTTAGGTTTGTATCTATTTTGAGTTAATTTTTGTGAAGGGTATAAAATCTGTGTCTAGGTTCTCTTTTTTGTGTGTGTCTATCCACTTGTCTCAGTACTATTTGTTAAAAAAAAAACTTGAAAAAACATATCTTTGTTTCATTGTACTACATTTGCTCCTTTGTCAGAGATCAGTTCACTGTATTTGTGTTGGACTATTTTTGGGCCCTGTTCCATTGATTTGTCTGTTCTTTCACCAACACCAAAGTAAAATAATGCCCAGTTGTGGATGTGACTGGTGATGGAAGTAAAGTCCGATGCTGTAAAGAACATTATTGCATGGGAACCTGGAATGTTAGGTCCATGAATCAAGGTAAATTGGAAGTGGTGAAACAGGAGATGGCAAGTGTTAACATCGACATTTTAGGAATCGGCAAACTAAAATGGATGGGAATGGGCAAATTTAATTCAGATGACTGTTACATCTAAATTTGTGGGCAAGAATCCCCTAGAAGAAATGGAGTAGCCATCATAGTCAACAAAAGAGTCTGAAATGCAGTACTTGAGTGCGGTCTCAAAAACAACAGAATGATCTGTTAGTTTCCAAGGCAAACCATTCAATACCACAGAAATCCAAGTCTATGCCCCAACCACTAATGCTGATGAAGCTGAAGTTGACTGGTTCTATGATGACCTACAAGACCTTCTAGAACTAACACCAAAAAAAGATGTCCTTTTCATCCTAGGGGACTGGAATGCAAAAGTAGGAAGTCAAGAGATACCTGGAGTAACAGGAAGTTTGGCCTTGGACTACAAAATGAAACAGGGCAAAGGCTAACAGAGTTTTGCCAAGAGAACACAATGTTTATAGCAAACACCCTCTTCTAGCAACATAACAGAAGACTCTACACATGGACATCACAAGATGGTCAATACTGAAATCAGATTGATTATATTCTTTGCAGCCAAAGATGAAGAGGCTCTATACCGTCAACAAAAACAAGACTGGGAGCTGACTGTGGCTCAGATCATGAACTCCTTATTGCCAAATTCAAACTTAAATTGAAGAAAGTAGGGAAAAGTAGACCATTCACTAGACCACTAAACCAAATCCCTTATGATTATACAGTGGAAGTGACAAATAGATTCAGTCTATTAGATTGAATAGATCAGATCTGATAGAGTACCTGAAGAACTGTAGGTGGAGGTTCATAACATTCTTCAGGAGTCTGTGATCAAAACCATCCCCAAGAAAAAGAAATGCAAAAAGGGAAAATGATTGTCTGAGGAGGGCTTACAAATAGCTGAGAAAAGAAGAGAAGCAACAGGCAAAAAAGAAAAGGGAAAAAATAGCCATCCGAATGCATAGTTCCAAAGAATAGCAGGGAGAGATAAGAAAGCCTTCCGAAGTGATCAGTGCAAAGAAATGGAGGAAACTAATAGAATGAGTAAGAGTAGAGATCTCTTTAAGAAAATTAGGGATACCAAGGGAACATTTCATGCAAAGATGGGCACAATAAAGGACA